GAGGAAGGCTTAGAAAACTTCTGAGAAGGCCGGGGGACTTCCGAGCCTTCTGAGAAGGCCTGCCCCTTCTCACTTCCCCCCCGCGCTCGCCGCCAAAGTTTGGAAACCATCTGCCCTCCATCGCTGTGTTTGCTGAATTCCCTTTTATCCTCGGGATAGTAGTGCGGGGGGAAGTCTCGAGCGAAACGCCAGGCCTGGCCCAGGGACGCGTCTGGCGGTGCGACAGGGAAGGGGGGGACGACCTGGTAGGAAGACAAGGGGTGGAGGAGGGGAGGGATGGGGAGGACGAGGAGGAGGAGGGAGGAGGGAAGTGATCAGGGAAGCGAGAGGAGGGAGGAGGAGGGAGGAGGGAAATGATGATGGGGGATGGGGAAGACTAGGAGGAGGAAGGAGGAAGGAGGAAGGAGGGAGGAGGAGGAGGAGGAGAAGGAGGAGGAGGGAAATGATGAGGGAGGCGGGAGGAGAATGAGGACCTCCCGGGGTCCTCGACAAAATGGCAGGCCCAACGTTGCTGGTCCTTCGAGTGGGACGCTTCTTGTAGCGGGAACGAGGACTTAGCGGGAACGTGTGAGACGGGGATTTGGGACGGGAGGGTGTGCTGCAGCATCGCCGACGTATCTCTGGCTTACTGTGGTCCTCCTCCTGTACTATGGCCCCCCCCCTCCCTCCCTCCCCCTCCCTCCCCTCCGTCCTCCCCTCACCTCCCTCCTTCCCTTTCCGCCCTCCCTCCTCCGCCCCCCCTCCCTCCGCTTCTCCCTGCTTCCCTCGTGCCCGGCCCCCCCCCCCCCCCCCGGAAGGCCTGGACACAAAGGGGGGGTGGGGGGAGCCGCCCCGCTCGCCCCCCCCCCCTGCAGGGGGGCAGCCCCCCCCCCCTCTCCCCCCCAGACCCCCGAGGGCACGACCCCACGAGGTCGACCCCCAGAGGCCTCCTCTGAGGCTGTCTTGGGGTTCTCCGGGGCAGTCTTGGGCCGTCTTGGGATCAAAAGAACAAAAAAATCCGCGGCATCCTGGAGCCGCTCTCAGCCAGAGAAAGCGGGCAGCCGAACCTGCATCAACATCTTCAAGGCGCATGCAAGACTCTGGCCTCTCCGGGACCGGCGCTCCGTCCCGGCCGGGTCGTTGCTGCTCGACGCTCCCGGGGCCCAGCGAGGGCAGCCCATCCATGGCCGACAGGGGCAGACAGGCGCCCGCCTGGATTCTTGTGCACTGCGCGCGAGGGTGTCGGGGTCCCCTGGGGCTAATCCTTCCACGAATTGCGTGAGTACAAGTCTGGCCTGGATCATTCCAGGCACACAGGCCTCGGAAAAAATAGCGAACACTCATGCCACATTCATCTGTGAACGCTTCCCCCTCCCCCCAATGTTCAAAGTTGGCGGTGGGTCTGATGAATTGCACCTCGACCGCAGTCTCCCCCGCGCGTGCCAACCTTGAGTTTGGGGGGCAGGGGGGGGATGTTCACTAATTGTTTCCCTCTACCGTATCACACTTCTTCTGACCCTTTGGTGCTCCCACCACCTCCAGACGGTACTCCGTGACATGTCCACCTCGCCGTTGCAGAGAGAGCTCGTCGCCCAGAAGGTCCTTGGTAAGTGTCGTTGCTGTTTGGTGTAGAAAACGAGCGACGCAGAAAAACGGGTTCGTCTTCCTCGACGTTGGCGCGCAGGCTGCCCGCGCAGGGTCGCGTGTGAGCGCCCTCGTCTCCAGTGCAATTATTGTGCCGCCCTGGCGACCCGCGTAAGCCCTACCGCGCAAGGCCGCCCTGCCCTCTCGCGCAAGACCCGCTTCCCTTCGTCGCTCCCACGTCAGGAGGGGGAAAAACACAGACACAATGAATCGTCGACTCCCCAGAAAATATGGGACAATATGGGAAGTAGGGGGGAAGACAAGAACCCAGAAAATATGGAAAAAAGATGGGGAATCTTTTCATTTGTATGTATTTATTTGTGTGTCCCAGGGCCCCTTCACCACGGGGCCCCCCAGCCCCCGCGGGCGCGGCGAGCCCCGCGAGCTGCCGCTGGGCTCTGGCTGCCCCCCCCCCGGTCAGCGGGGCGCTCCGCCAGCAGTGCTCGGGCCGTCGGCCAGCGCCTCCGGCCCGACTGGGGCGCCTCCGCCGCCGCGGAGGGAGAGGATCAGGAGGGGAGCAGACAGACGAAAGACACAATTCATATGGAAAGTCAAAAGATATTGAAAAAATTGTGGGGCCCTGTTACCTGTGTGTACTTCCTTGTGTGTCTCTGGGCCCCTTCAGAGGAGGGAGAGGGGGAGAGAGAGGGGGGAGGAGGGAGAGGGGGAGGGAGAGGTGGAGTAGTTCCGACGCCTCGAGCGCTCGCTCACGCGGCTTGGCCAAGAAGGCGGAGGAGGAGGAGGAGGAGGAGGAGGAGGAGGAGGAGTAGGAGGAGGAGTAGGAGGAGGAGTAGGAGGTGGAGGAGTAGCAGTAGTAGTAGTAGTAGTAGTAGTAGTAGTAGTAGTAGTAGTAGTAGTAGTAGTAGTTAGTAGTAGT